CGGGGGCGGCGGCGGCTGCGGGCGGCGCGGTGGCGGCGGCGGCAGCTGACAGGGAGGAGGGCGGGCCTCCAGGAGGAAGGAGGAGAGGGAGAGCGAAGATAGAGGACTGCTAGGCGGCGAATGGGTTTCCATCAGTTTTCTGATTGGCTGTGTTGCGGAAGTCCCTGTAGTTTCTGCGGGGGTTGGTCCAACTTCCAAATGATTCCTGAGGTGTCAACACGTTTCTGGAGGTTCTCGAATGTTTCTGGCGCTCTCCAGGGGCGTCCAACAGGGGGGCGTCCAAGAGGGGGGTTCGCAAATCAAGGCCGAGGCATGTGCTGGGACGAGGGGGGGACCAGGTGATGCATTGAAAGAAGAAGAGGGGGCCATGAAATCTGGGGAGATGTCATGGCGACCCCGAGCTCTTCAAGCAGTGCGAAAGGCACCGCGGTGCCTCGAATCACATCGCGCTCGTCGCAAAAGGCTTCTGCAAAAGGCACCAGGCACCCGCGTCAGCAGCGCAGGCTGGCCAACTGGGCCCTGCCAGCCGCCTCCTGGGAGGAGGGGGGCTTCGGATGTTTCCGACGTTTTCGGGGAAGGACTTCGGAGAGTGCACGTTTTCGGAGGTTCTTACCTGATTCCGGACGGCTTCAGCAGCTTGAAACAGTTTCTCAACCTTTCAGAACTTTTCTGTGACTCACCCATGTCTTCGCAACTTGCCGGACCAACCGCAAGGCGAAGGAAGAGGGGGGAGGGAGGAGGACGATGATGAGACACAACGATTGTTGCACAATGGCCATACCAGCACGCTCGAAAGGCCTCGTCAGAGAGTTGACCCTCTCACCTTGTGCCTACGCTAGCAGCGATGGCGGCGGGCACAGCGGAACCACTGCCATGCAGCACTCGAGAGCATCCGGTCCGAACCAAAAACAGAATCGTAACCTAAGAAAACGAACGTTGCTCAGACAAGCTGAAGTCTTCTTCATCCCCCTCCTCTCCCTTCCTGTCCTCCTCCGCCTCCTTCCCCTCTTCCTCCTGCTGTTCCTCCTCCTCCTCCTTCTCCTTTTTTTGTTGTGTTTCGTCTTCCTCCTCCTCCTCCTCCTCCTCCTCCTCCACCTCCTCCTCCTCTTCCTCCTCCTCCTCATCCTCCTCTTTCTCCTCATCCTCCTCCTGCGTCCTCCTCTCTCCTTTTCCTCCTCCCCCTTCCTCTTCCCTCTCCTCCTCCTCCTCCTCCTCCTCCTCCTCCTCCTCCTCCTCTCTCCTCTCCTCCTCTCCTCCTCCTCCTCCTCCTGCTCCTCCTCCTCCTCCTTCCCCTCGACCCCCTCCTCATCCTTAGCATCAGCATCACCATGGTCACCATCATGCCCCTCCTCATCCTCCTCGTCCCCGCAATCATCAGCATCATCAGCACAACATCTTCATCACTACAAGCATCATCCGAATCCGCAACAGCAGCCAAATCATCACCACCGTCACCTGGCCTTCATCATCATCATCAGCAGCAGCATCATCATCGACATCATCATCAACAACATCAGCATCACCAGCAGCATATTACCAGGTGTGTCATCAACAGCTGCACCATCATGATGACCAAAAGAACAGCAGCATTAAATATCATCACCACCGTCATCACCAACACCACAACCAACACCACCGCCCCAATTACTTCCCATCCCTCTTCCTCGTCCTCGTCCACTTCCTCCTCCGTCTACACCACCACCCCTCTGCCAGGAGGGCGGCGACGGCGGCGAAGGCGACGACGAAGGCAGCGACGACGACGACGACGACGACAACGGCGACGACGACCACGACGACGACGACGACGACGACGACGACGACGACCAAGGCGACGACGACAAAGGCGCCGACGACGAAGGCGACGACTGTCTGTCTGTTTGTGACGCTGCTTCCCCGAAGGTCTGCGGCTACCCGCGTGCAGGCGGAACGTGCTAGTTCGGATCCTAACTCACAAGCCGATGGTTTAGCCAATACTCTTTCAAATCAGCCCACTGCTCCTGGTCCCTGCCCGAATGTTGCCAACAATCGCCCAAGATGTTTGCAAACTAGTGTTCGTACCTGCACACATGAAAACGTTGATCTTGACACTGCTGACCCTATGAATGATCCAATTGACGAAACTATTCCATACCACGGAGTTGCAACACGTGCCAAGCGATCCTGTCCTGAGCATACTTGCCAAGACGAGCCACATGCCCGGCCCACCGAAAGGCTCTCTCCAAGCGTACTGGGTCCCAGCATTCCATCTGGTAGTTTGATCGCAGCACGTTGAGCTTCACGTAGGTCAGGCGGCAGTGCCCCCCAACAAGATTATCATCTCAACCGCAATCGAAATCGAAATCCAGATGCGTTTCCGCTGGAATCCTGAACTTGGTACCAGGCACCCCACGCATATCTTGTGTTCTATCGCCCGCATTCTCTGGAGATGCCATTTCGCCAGGCGCAAGACCCCAATGTTATAAGGGAGGGCCAGCAGGACGAACTAAGATAGAGCCTCTAAACTGTAAACGCCAACGGAGGAACTAGCCTTGCAGGTCAAGAGCCAGCGGCGGTTCCCGAAAACGTTCCATGCGCTCTCGACCTTCCGTTCCACCCTCACGGTCGCATCATTGCTCATAGTATGAATGTGCCCCAAGACTTGAAGCCCCGAGCACGCGGAGCGAATGGAAAGGATACCCCCGGTTTGTCGCTCACTTGTTTGGCACGCTCGTTCGGCGGAGGGGCCGCGGAAGACGGGGCGGCGCGGGCAACCTATGGGCACTCGCAATATTTCGCGGCTGACCGCACGCATGGAAAAAATGCCGCGCTCCATCTGTAATCTCGCACACGGGCGTGACAGCATCAGTTATCTTCGGCTAGTGGAGCTTAGAATCGCCACCAATATTTTTTCTGCGAAGACAAAGATGGGAAGGCGCCCAGCATTGGCAGGCACCGCTGGCGCCGGCCTGGCCCTCTGCGACCCCATTACATCGCCGCGCTCAACAGACGCGCCCCAAACATTCTTCGTTCGGCAACAATGTTTAACTTCTGTGGACCTTGCGGGCCCCTCTGGAAGTCGTCGGACCAGCCCGCGGGAAGCGGATGCGCCCTCGAGCTCGCCTGACTTCCCGGATCACCCTGGCAGCCATCAAATTTGGCACGCCTTCTTAGGTGAACGCGGTCCACGGCGTCGCGCGCTTAGCACAAATCTCTGCGGAAGATGAGCGAGCCGGGATCTAACTCAATCGCCTTTCCCGCCAACATGCGAAAAATACGAACTGCACCTCTGCAGCCTAGTAAGAATTCTGGAACGCGAACTGGTGACGCGAGAACTCGACATCTCCAAGATTACCCATACCAGAAAATATTATCACATACAACTTCCAGAGAACAGACAATAGGACAATACGGCGCCACTGCTTCATCACAGTCGGGTTCGCCACCTTCTCCATCAGATGGACGTCGAGCTCGTCGCCCGCGAGCGCAAGGCGACGCAAACCAAAAAGAGCCGCGACAAAATCGAAAACTTCCTCGGGCGCCTCCTGCAACCAACATCTCTGCCACCACCACATCGGATCTGGAACAACCCTCTCCTCTCTTGAGCTTCATGGTGAATTCCAGGCACAGGCCGGAAAGATGACCCCCGCGGCGTCCAGATTGGCTCGACCCCACCGCTCATGGATCCACTCGGGGATGCTTTTGACGCGCGCAGATTGGCACAGGCCCCTGAAAAACTGAACGGCGACCTGGTGGATATCTTCCTCCGCCTCGCAGAGCACGCCGTTTTCGTCGATCAGCCCCCCCAGCCACGGGGACTGCGAGCGACCCTATGCCCCGCGTAGCATTCGCGGGGGCCCCGCGCAGTCGCGCCAGAGCTTCGAAGCCGCGAGATGACGTCGCACGAGATTTGCAGCCACGCTAACAATGCAATGGGTCTGAAAATTTTCCGGCGCACGTCGAAGATCGGCGAGGCCCCGAAGAGATTCGACTATGTCATCCCGGTCTGGATATGGGCGGACACCCTTCGAGCTCGAAAGTCCTAGCCTAGAAGCGACAGATGCCAGAGTAGAAGTCGAAGCGGAGAGAGACGGCAAGGGCCGCCGTTGATTGCCCACGCGAGCGTCGTGAAAACTACGATGCTCAGGCACGTCCGCCACGTTTACGTCTCCCAGCGCGCTCGCGCGGCGCCGGCGCCGAGACCTCGGCCCCAACGTCCTCGGCGCATCTTGCGCGCCCAATTAATCCAGCCGACGCAAGCGATGGCGGGCACCTCCGCGTGGCAAGCTCTGCTTCAGAGACGGTCCGACGGTCGCCGCCCGCGTCTTCTCGCCCCGCCGGCCCGACTCCCAGCGCCGAGGATAATGAACCCGCCGCGAAATTCGGGCCGCCAGGAGTCGAAGATGGATCCGCCCCTGCCTTTGCGAGGCCATCCGCGCACCCGTCGCCATTGTTTTTGGCGTGGCTTTAGACAGATTCGCATACAACATAAACAGATCGCATTTGCCCCGCGAAGACTTTGCAACGTTGCCGCTAAACCCACGTTCGTCGTCGAATTAAAAGTACCACGCATAATATTCACCACATACATAGAATCGAACATCACATTGATTTTCTGGCCGCGGCGGATCCGGCGCTTCGACGCCAGGAGCTCCGCCTGAGACAATACCAACGCGCGCGTTTCAACCGGGGCACTTAACTCTCCAGTCGCGCTGGAAACTCGAGCGGCGCCTATGAAAAAGCGGCGGAATACTTTTTTAAATTTCCACCGGTCAACAACGCTCACGGACAGGCAACTCCCCAATCACCGGGCCTCATGAAAGATCAGATTGAATCCCTAGCCACCCAGGCCCAACAGAGGGGTTCGATTAGCCCCTCCCCGGCCAAGAACTCGATCGAAAAACGAACCGTCGCATAATAAACCCATCGTCTCGCCGCCCAGCCACGCATTGCGATGAACTTCAGTTCCCCCCACCGCGGCAACCAACGAGTTACGATAAGCAGCGGCGCTTGAGCAGCGCCACCCATCCAGCTCTTCGGCGCTGTACCGGCGCAAGACACGGGAATCGAACTAGAGGAAAGGTCGGCGAGGTTCGAGGAAAAGATCAGAGGGGCGCGGTCTGTCGCTGTGGCGGCACATGACCTGACATCGCAGGCGCCGTCTTTCACAGCAAATCCTCTCACACATCATGATCGCATGCATTAAAAGCCGCACGATGAAAATGAGAAACAATGACAGCATATCAACCCTGCGTGCACACCTCTGCGAACAACGATTGGGCATTCCATGGGCGTTATTTCCCAACGGGGTCTCCCGTGCTACGCGTGCGCGGCCCGATGTAATCATGGCAACCATCTACACCACGGAGGTTGCAATTAGCATCCACACCCGGAATAAGTTTATCGCCGTTGGGAACCAACTTCACAAGAGTTATCAAGTCCAAGAGATATTCACGAAACCCTGATTTGCTAGCAAACGGATGGAGGTGCACAGTTCCGTATAAGATATAATCCAACTCCAGATGGCGGCAATCGACCCCTGCCGCTCTCTCAAAATTGCGAGACTAACCAATCAACCTCAAGGCCGAGTCCTGGTGGATGGCAACTGCCGCCTGCTCGGCTCCCTTCATGGGACAGCAACAGTAGACAGCGTGGCCTCGAAGTGAAGTACGCGGCATCGCTGTGCTGAGGGACAGAAGCTCGTGAAAAAAACAAACTGGCAAATCCAAGTCACGGCCTAGTTCGGTAAAGAACCCATCCAACTCCGCTGAAGGACCGCCCCGAACATTCCACGAGATAGCAATATAATGTTTGCCCCTGCTCCGTCGATGTCGAGCTGCACAACCTTCCCGAGAGTTGTCTCACGTGCGGGCCACAGCCTGCCGAGTCGGCGCGAGCTGATCCAGATTGATAGTAATATGGAGGGCAAAGGGCTTCGCCTGCGCCGCCTTCACGGCCCGGAGGAAACGGGTAGTCATGCCCTGCGGCCTCCCTCCCCCAGCCAAACCGCGGCTTAGACGAGAGGGGAACTGCGTCGCCGTGGTCGTTCAGGATATCGATCACCTGCTCAGCCTCCTCGATGCCCAGGTTGCTCACGCTGGCCGCGACCAGAGCCTCGGCCACCAGCGCCTGGGCCGTGCACTGCTGCTTGGCCAATCGCCCACGGCAGCTTGTCAATGCAATGACAGAGGGAGATGTTGACGCGATCGGGTGCTGCAAGGTCTGGCGAGACGAAGTGCTTGCTTCTCATCGTCTTCAAAAACCCCTTCAGAGCTTGTTATCCTCAAAACGGATCTTCACCCGATCCCTATACGTACCCATACCATTCATGCACCTTGGACGCCCATTCGATGTTCATGCAATCGAGCTCCCCCTCAACGAACTCGACGTGCTTGGTGGATTCGTCGTAAGCGAAACCGCCCACGCAGACCACCTTGCGGAGCCTGAGTGGGATGAGTATGCTGTGTTCGAACTCGCTGCACCCAAGGCCTGGGACAGAGTCGCGGAAAGAAGAGAGTTCCGAGCCCCCGGCGCGTCCCCCCGATCCCACTTGTCCATCCTCTCCTTCATCTCCTTCAGCTCCTCCTCCTCCTGGTTGTTACCTTTGGTCTTGACAGACTTGAGATCATCATTTACCTCAGTAAGATCATTCCGAAGAGGAACCTGAGAGTCCACGATCATGCCGCCAAGGGCTCGAAGAACTCGATGAAGTCGCTGAATCCCGCCTCGGCATGACGCTGAGCAGACGATGAGGCGTCGAAGCCCTCGACCCGCTGCCGCATGCGCCTGCTCTCAACACCGGTTGGGTCCTCGACTCCCTCCATCCCTCCATACACATCCTCACGCATCTCTGGATGGAAGAAAAGATAGGGCTTGGAAGTGTACGACGACGACGATGACAACCACGACGACGACAACCACGACGACGACAACCACGACGACGACGACGACGACGACGACGACGACGACGACGACGACGACGACGACGACGGCGACGGCGGCGGCGGCGGCGGCGGCTGCGGCGATGGTCGCGGAGGCAGCGGGGACGACGGCAACGACAACTCACGCAGCGCCGCCTTGGACCACTCGGCGGGGTCGAGGTCGATCTGGCCATAAGAGAAGGCGACGGTGCACCGCATGGCGAACACCGTCTGCGCGAGCGCAGGTGGCCCCGAGAGGGTGCGCGCGCGAGCCGAGCTGACACGGGTAAGGCGGAAGAGGGGGAAACTGGACCCGAGCTGACACGGGTCAAAAGAAGGGATCGGAATGGTTCACCTGTCCTCTGCAGGTAAGAGCGACCCTCCTGCAGAAAGATCCTCTGGGTCTGGCTCGGTCTCGAACCGAAGAAAGGCCCACACTTGGGAGCGCTGGCCGGTAGGCTTACCCTGCCCAGTCTCCTCCTCGGACGCAGAACCTGGCCCGACCCCGTCTGGGACGAACCGTGCGCAGTAGGGGACCGGGAGGTGCAGGATGAGGAGGACAGCAAGGGGGGGGAAGAGGAGGGAACGGAGGAGAAGGAGGACTGCCAGGTACGCAATAGGCTTTGAGGGCACCTAGAACCCATCTTTAAGGATGAGGCGACCATCAGAACACTTGTCAGGGTGATTGCGGTTTCCCACTCACCCGCTGCCCAAAGCAACATCCCGACAGGAAAGAGGAGAGGGCGGAGCAGGGTGGAGGGCAACGACGACGAACGACGAACCACTCAGCGGCTGCCGCTGCCTCCCGACGGACCCCATGGGTAGGGCAGGCGACCCGAGCAGGGTGTGTGCGTGAGCCGGCAGTGTCGCGCCTATTTCGCGCAAGGTTTCGTGGCATCTTGTCAATTTCACAGCGGCACGATCGGGTCTGCACTCGACCTTGACACGGCCTCACACGAGTTGGCGATGAGGTAGGGCTGTACTCTCAACAGACCACCAGTCAGCCGAGCGGCCCACCCTGTTTCCTCATCCACCGCCGTGCTTGCGGCGGTTGGTGTGTTTTGGGCCTTTCCTTTTCCGCTGTCGCTTGTTACGAAACAATCGCTGAAGCCCCCAAACGCATCGAACCCAACATCATTCCATCTGTTCCATCACGTCCCTGCGTTTTCCCCCTTCCGGCCACTCAATGGCCCTAAAACAAAAAGTCCAGGTAGCGGGATCTAGCGGCACCCCCCTCCCCCACGGGCGCGCCCCACCGACCCACCCGTCACCCCCGCCCCTCAGCGCGTAGCGTCGCGATCCGTCAGTCGGGAAAAACAACAATGGGGGGGGTGGGGGCGTAGGCAGCCCGGGCGGGCCTCGGATGACGGAAAGCGCGCGTAGCATCGCGAACCGTTCGTCGGGAGACATAGCAGGGGGGGTGAGGGGCGGGAAGCCAGAGCCCGAGATGACGGAAAGCGCGCTTCGCGTGCGATCCGTTAGCCCAGAGATATTACAGGGGGGGGGGACAAGCAGCCCTGGACCAGATGACGGAAAGCGCGCGTAGCGTCGCGAACCGTAAGTTGGGAGACATAACAGGGGGGGGAGAGGGGCAGCCAGAGGGTCAGATCTAATGGTCCTAATTTCGCAAATGTTCGGCTCGAGACGGCCGAAGTCAGCCCCAAGAGCGCATACGTAAGAGGCCCCAAGACGGCCCAAGACAGCCCGCGCCCAAGACGGCGTCGGGCAGGTCCAAGAGGGCCCGACGACGGCCCAAGAGCACTGCAACAGGGCCCAACATGGCTTCACGCCCCAAGAGGCCCCCCAAGTGGACCTCCAAGAGTCACAAATCGCGTCATTCCCTTAGGAAGACGTGCATGTTTAGCAGACTCGCGTCTTTGGTTTTCACAGCGTCCAAGACGGCCCAGGAGGCCTCCAAGACCGCCCCAAGACGGCCAGAGGCTCCCAACACGGCACATGTGGGCGTCAAGACGGCCCAAGAGAGCCCCAAGACGGGCCAAGAGAGGCCCTTCAGGGTCCCCATCCTCTTCATCCGCCCATTTCTCCCCCTCCCTCTTCCCTCCCCCCCCCTTCCCCACGTCCTCCTCCTCCTCCTCCTCCTCCTCCTCCTCCTCCTCCTCTTCCTCGCCTCCTCTTCCTCGTCCTCCTTCTCCTCCTCCTCCTCCTCCTCATCCTCCTCATCCTCCTCGTCTTCATCATCCTCCTATATATTATCTCTCTATATATATTATCTCTTGCCCCTCCTCCTCTTCCTCCTCCTCCTCCTCCTCAGCAACATCATCATCATCATCATCATCATCATCATCATCATCATCATCATCATCATCATCATCCTCCACCACCACCACCACCACCACCACCATCACCATCATGATCATCCACGTTCCGACATCATGCTCATCGTCATCGTCCTTCACCCTCCTCCACATCCTGCCCCTTCACCCTATTGGGGGGACGGCGACGGTGGCGGTCGCGGCGGCAACGAGGCAGCGGCCGCGGCGACGACGACGGCAACGACGATAGGGCCACTTGCATGCCGGGCCGCTGGGCCTCCGCTATCGCCAGGTGCTCCAGGCACTCCACGCCCGACGCCAGCCCCTCCGGCACGCTGCGGAGCCCCGCCAGCCAGCGGAGCGTCGCCTGCCCTCCTCCGCTCCGGCGCCGCCGTCGCCAGCGCCGCCACCGCCGTCCGTCGTCGCCGACGACACTCCGATATGCTTCGAAGGCACTCGACATTCCTCGACTGCGAAGGCGGGACGAGGTCCCCGATGCTACCCCACCACGACGACCCCGACGACCCCCCGAACACGTCCTGTGGTGTTGGCTTGCGTTCTGACAAGGGTCTCGAGACAAGTTCTGACAAGAGTCTCGAGACACCCAAGAGGCGCAGAATACTCTCATCATCATCATCATCATCATCATCATCATCATCATCATCATCATCATCATCATCATCATCATCATCATCATCATCGTCATCATCATCATCATCATCATCATCATCATCATCATCATCATCATCATCATCATCATCATCTCATCATCATCATCATCATCATCATCATCATCATCATCATCATCATCATCATCATCATCATCATCATCATCATCATCATCATCATCATCATCATCATCATCATCAATCAGCAATCAGCATCAGCATCAGCATCATCATCACCCTCATCCTCACCCTCATCCTTATCCTCATCCTCATCCTCATCCTCATCACCACTATCATCATCATCATCATCATCATCATCATCATCACCATCATCAACATCATCATCAGCATCATCACCAGCATCATCACGATTACCATCATCACAATCATCATTATCAGCATCATGATCGTCGTCGTCGTCATCATCACCATCACCACCACCACCATCATCATCATCACCGTCCCCGTCACCATCCGCATCACCATCATCATCATCATCATCACCATCATCAGCATCGTCGCCGTCACCGTCACCATCACCAGCACCAGCACCATCACCATCAACACCACTGCCCTCTCCATCACCATCACCATCACCATCACCATCATCACCATCATTACCACCATCAGCAACATCATCAACATCATCATCAACATCATCATGAACACCATCATCGAGAACATCAACATCATCATCATCATCATCATCATCATCATCATCATCATCATCATCATCATCATCATCACCCCCTCCTCCCCCTTCCCTCCCCTTCCCCCTCCTCATGCGCTGTATCTTCCCCCTGCTCAACCCTCATCCGAGGAGGCGGGAGATGAGGAAGGAGGGAGCAGGAATTACCCTTTTCAGTGGTACTTGGGTTCTCGCCTTTGCGAGCTTCCGACGCTCCAAGACGAGCCAAGAGGCCTCCGACCCCCCTCCGACCCCCCCCCCAGACGGCTCCCAAGGCCCTCCCAGACGGCCCAAGAAGGATCCAAGACCTCCTCCTCCTCCTCATGCCCCGCCGCCTCCTCCGCCCCCTCCGCCTTCTCCGCCTCCTCCGCTTCCTCCTCTCCGGAAGTTCCCCGAGATCCACAAAGGCTTCCGAGATTATCAAGGACCCCGGGGGCCCCAAGAAGCGCGCGGAGACCTCTGGAGGCATCTGGGCCCGAAAAGGCCGACAGGGGTCCAAAACCTCGGGCTTCATGTGTAGAGCACGCCTGGTGGATTTTTTAAACTTGCGTTTTTACCTAGCAGCGAAGACTGATAGGTTTCTAGTGGTCTCAAAAGAGAGCATCATGACTCCCCAGGGGGGTCTGGGCAGATGCCGGACGGGTGCCGCGGGAATTCGGGGAGATCCGGGGACTCCCAAGAACATCATTCCCAGGCCACATTTTGAACCAGAACACCATTCCCAGGACACATTTTGAATGTCAGGAGCCAACTGTAGGCCACTTCGTGTTCTTCGTCTTCCCAGAACACCATTCCCAGGCCACATTTTGAATGCCCGGAGCCAACTGTAGGCCACTTCTTCGTGTTCCCAGAACACCATTCCTGTACCATATTTTGATTGCCCGTAGCCAACTGTGGGCCACTTCGTGATCTTCGTGTGCCCAGAACACAAGTCCTGTGACATATTTTGAATGCCCGAGCTGAGGCAGGCTGAGGCCGAGGCAGGCTGAGGCCGAGGCAGGCTGAGGCTGAGGCTGAGGCACGCCGAGGCAGGCTGAGGCTGAGGCTGAGGCACGCCGAGGCAGGCTGAGGCTGAGGCTGAAGCAGGCTGAGGCTGAGGCAGGCTGAGGCTGAGGCAGGCTGAGACTGAGGCTGACGCAGGCTGAGGCCGAGGCAGGCTGAGGCTGAGGCTGAGGCAGGCTGAGGCTGAGGCAGGCTGAGGCTGAGGCTGAGGCAGGCTGAGGCTGAGGGCTGAGGCTGAGGCTGAGGCTGAGAGGCTGAGGCTGCAGGCTGAGGCAGGCTGAGGCTGAGGCTGAAGGCTGAGGCTGGCAGGCTGAGCTGAGGCTGAGGCTGAGGCTGAGGCTGAGGCTGAGGCTGAGGCTGAGGCAGGCTGAGGCTGAGGCTGAGGCTGAGGCAGGCTGAGACTGAGGCTGAGGCAGGCTGAGGCTGAGACAGGCTGAGGCTGAGGCTGAGGCAGTCTGAGGCTGAGGCTGAGGCCGAGGCAGGCTGAAGCTGAGGCCGAGGCAAGCCGAGGCAAGCTGAGGCTGAGGCTGAGGCTGATGCTGAGGCAGGCTGAGGCTGAGACAGGCTGAGGCTGAGGCTGAGGCTGAGGCAGGCTCAGGCTGAGGCAGGCTGAGGATGAGGCCGAGGCAGGCTCAGGCCGACACAGGCTGAGGCTGAGACTGAGGCTGAGGCTGAGGATGAGGCCGAGGCAGGCCGAAGCTGAGACAAGGTGAGGCTGAATGGGGGGGGAAGGGGGGGGGGGGGAGGGGAGGCCGAGTCAGGCTGAGGCCGAGGCAGGCTGAGGCCGAGGCAGGCTGAGGCTGAGGCTGAGGCAAGCCGAGGCAGGCTGAGGCTGAGGCTGAGGCTGAGGCAGAGGCAGGCTGAGGCTGAGGCAGGCTGAGGCTGAGGCTGACGCAGGCTGAGCCTGAGGCTGAGGCAGGCTGAGGCTGAGGCCGAGGCAGGCTGAGGCTGAGGCTGAGGCAAGCCGAGGCAGGCTGAGGCTGAGGCTGAGGCTGAGGCTGATGCTGAGGCATCCGTAGGAATCCATAGGAATCCTTAGGAATCCCTAGGAATCCTTAGGAATCCGTAGGCATCCTTAGGAATCCGTAGGCATAGTTAAGCATCCTGAGGAATCCTTAGGAATCCTTAGGATTCCCTTGGAATCCTTAGGAATCCCTAGGAATCAGGATTCCTAAGGATTCCTAAGGTTTCCTAAGGATCCTAAGGATTCCTAAGGTTTCCTAAGGATTCCTATGGATTCCCAAGGATGCCTAAGGATGCCTTAGGAATCCCTAGGAATTCTTTGGATTCCATTGGATCCTAAGACCGTTGCCACTGCGACTGTCATTGCGAATGCGACTGCGACTGCGAGAACAGCAGAATTCTACAACTGGATTCTCACCTGAATCGTAAGGGGAATGCTTCCATAGATGCTTATACACATCGCTGTTAGGTTGCTTTGCCAGGATAATCAAGGTTTTCTTTTGAAGGCAGCGCTTGGGGGGGAAAGGGGAAGGATGGAAAGGGAAGGAAAGGGCAATGCAAGGCAATGCGATTGGGACGCACTGCAACGAAATGCGAATGCAATGCAAAGCACTGCGATTCCAATGCAATGCGACTGCAATGTGAGGGAGGCTGGAGGGAGGGAGAAACGAGATCCCTCTCACTCCTGGGCCTCAAGCGGGGGGGACCCCCAGTAACAAAAAAAACTACTTGCGGATTTTAAAACCCTGTCTTCTGTCGGGCCAAGGAGGAGAAACAAAAACCTGGAGGGTGGTTTTGGGGGATCTGGACCGGAAGGTGCATCGACGCGGAGGGTGCATCGACGCGCCGCACCTCCTCATTCTCCCATCCCCCCTCCCTATTTGACTCTCCCCTCCGCTTCTTCGGCAGCCTCCAGCAGGAGGGGGAGGGGTGGAGGGAGGCCGCGCCGCCCCTCCTCATCTTCCCGCTCCCTCCCCCCTTCAAAGGGATGCACGTCACCATCCTCGTCATCGACAACATATTGTACCGCACTCGTTGTCACCATCGTCGCCGGCATGACTTTCACAGCGGCGCACGTCACCACCATCGTCATCAGCAGCAGCTTAAACACACGATTGCAATGCGATTGTAACGCAATCGGATGCGATTGGAATCCCCGTTCGTCCATCCTGAAGGGAAGGGAAGGATCCTCCTCCTCCTTCCTGAAGGAAAGGAAAAGGAGAAACCTGTTCCCCCTTTTCCTCCTCCTTCCTGAAGGAAAAAGGGGAAGTAACCTCCTCCTCCTCCTCCTCCTCCTCCTCCTCCTCCTCCTCCTTACTGGGGAGAAACGAATGGAAGGAATATCCTCCTCGTTTTCCTTGCTGGAGGAACGGGAATGGAAAGGACCTCCTCCTTTCCCGAGGGAAAGGAAACGGAAAGAAAATACCCACCGCCTTTCCTGAAAGACCAGGAAAGGAAGGAATCTCCTCCTCGCCCCCTTCCTCCTCCTGACGGAGCGAGAAGGGAAGGAACCTCCTCCTCCTCCTCCTCCTCCGCCTTCTCCTCGCCCTTCCCGCAAGGAAAGGGAGGAAAAAGTAAGGGAGGAAAAAGTAAAGGCTCCTCCTCCTCCTGCTCCTCCTCCTCCTCGTCTCCTCCTCCTCCTCCTCCTCCTCCTCCTCCACATCCTCCTCCTCTCCCTCCTCCTGCTCCTGCTCCTCCTCCTCCTCCTCCTCCTGCTCCTCCTCCTCCTGTTTCTCCTCCTCCTCCTCCTCCTCCTCCCGATGGAAAGAAAATGGAAGGAACCCCATCCCCCTCCTCCTTCCTGAGGGAAAGGGAAAGGAAGGACCCTCGTCCTCCTCCTTCTGAAAGAACGGGAGGGGATCCCACCAGCCCTCTGGGCGACAGGTGGTCTAACGAAGGCATGTTTCCACTTCCACGTCTCAACCGATGGCAGCACACTAAGTCTGTCTCGGGCGTGTAAGTGACTTGATTATCTCGATAATCCCGTAAAAGATACGCAACCTTTTCCTGTGACTCAGGGGCCCCTGAACATCAAACGGCAGCGGTACAGCAGCAATCGCAACCTGTGCTAACATACGTTCCAACTGACACTACACACAAACGATAAAATCAATAAAACAGTGGTGATATTGACACGGGCGGAAAAAAGAGTTAGCACAGATACTCTACACATCACACTGCCTAAACTCACGGCTCCCCGGACGTTTACCAGGAGGTTCCAATTGCAAACTCAAACTTATGCTGAAAACTCCAAGCTTTCGGGAAAGGGACCGAAACTAAAACACAGATAAACATCACTGTCACCGCAGGTCCCCTGCACAAACCAGTCTGACTCGACTGTGAAACACACAGGCGGTCGCGTCAGCGACATATATCTCCTTAACCCCACCAGCCCTCTGGGCGTAGGTGGTCTAGAGCAGATCCTCTTCCACCCCTCCCTCTTCCCCTTGGGGAGGGGTTTACCCCTCCCCCGACCCCCTCCCCTGGACCTGGACGGAGGGTTCCGCGAGCGGTCGGACGGCTCTTTTGGCCCCAAGATTGCTTCAAGAGCGCGTCAGAGAGCCCAAGATGAGCTCCAAGATGGCTCAAGATAGCGCAAGATCGCTCGAGATGGCTCCTAAGATGGTTCCACGAAGCCCAAAGACGGCCCCAAGACGGCTCCAAGTGGCCAAAGAGCTCCCCAAGGAGGCCCCGAAGAGGCCAAAATCGTCCCCACACCCTAAGAAAATCAATGTTTTTTGCTTTCTCCCCGTTTCGCTTCCGATGGCCATCGAAGGCCTCAAGATGGCTGGAAGATGGCCCAAGAGGGCCCCACAAGAGGCCCAAGAGAGCCCCAAAAGCGCCCCTACAGCCCCCAAGAGCGCCCCAAGAGCGCCCCAAGAGGCGCCCAGACGGCCCCAACAGGCGCCCAAGAGGGCTCCAAGAGGCTCCCAAGAGACCCCCAAGAAGCCTCAAGAAGATCTCCGAAATGCATTTAAGACGATTATGGTTCTTCGGTTCGCCGTCCTCTTCAATTTCTCATCCCCCTCTTCCTCCTCCTCCTTCTCCTCCTTCTCCTTCTCCTCCCTGTGTTTCTTCTCCTCCTTCTCGTCTACTCCACATCCTCCTCCTCATTCTCCTCCTCCTCCTCATCTTCCTCCCCCTCCCCCTCCGACGAGGATTCCTTCTCCATCCTCCCCCTCTTGGGGTACGTGACAGCTTCCCCCGCCCTTTGTTATTCTGCATGCTCCCCGACTTCCCTGATCACCTCCACTCCCTTGGGCATCGTTTCTGGATGGGCTGGTGGGGATACGCGAAGCGTCAACAATTATCTCAGCACGCCGGGCGATCGGTCGATCTCTCCAGGCAAGCAAGTCCGCGCCTCGCGGGCGCTCAGCAAGGTGTACATCACGATGCACATCAGCTCCTGCGGCAGCGCCGCCACGTCGCCATAGGCTGGGTCCCCGTCATCTTCTTCTATCCGAAAAAAAACTCCATGTGTGTACTCGGGCAGCGGCTGGAATCTCGGCGTCTGCACGTCCTGGTTGTAGCGACACTGAGACTGGCACATCATGTGGCGCACTTTCTTCTGGCGAGGCTGCTTGGTGTTCACACCTGTCGTCATCATCTCGGTCACCTCGGCGTCGCGCTTCTCCGTATTGCTGGGGTTCGGCTCGGTCTCTGGCTCCAGCGGCTTGATGCTTTTCTGCTCCGTGTCCGCGGTAGTCCAGCGTGTCCAGCAGGTGCCAACCCAGAACCCACAGCCAAAAGCCACGAGCATCGCCATCATGAATCCGAAAATGGCCAGCTTCATCAGCAGAGTATTCCAGTCGTCGTTGGTCGGTGGGTTGAACAGCTCGACGCCGCTGGGCGCATACTGCACCAACTCAGCTCCAGAGCCTGTCGCTCCAGTAGCCGCCAACGTAGCTGCCAAACGAACTCCACTCGCGCCAAAATGGCGCGTCTTGGCCTTGGCCTTCGCCTTCGCCACGGGCTCCTTCTCGAAGGTGTCGATCAACTCTTCTCCTGCCTGGTCCAGCTCCTTCTCGCGTTGCTCCATCGCGCGCTCGGTGAGTTTCTTGCCGGCCACGAAGTCGGGGTCGTAGCGCAAGGCATGAACTCCACGGCGCAACACATCTGCCATCATCTGGCGCGCCGAAAGCTTGGTGAGCCCGTCCGCCATCTGCTGCTGGGTGTTCACCCATTTCCACTTAGCGTTGACCTCCGCCAGCTGCTCGTTCACGATCTTCACCTCGATGGCCGCCCTCTTCTCTGCGATGCCCATTCCCGCCGTAGCTGACAGCGAAGCGTCCTAGAGGCACTTCGCGTCTGTAATGAACGGCGACTCTCCGAGGTATGTCATGGCGGCGTCGCGTCCGAGGTCGGGCCTCAGACTCAGGGCCAAAAAGACATTCACCCACATCAGCGAGTCAGCTCCCATCGCCGCGGCCTGCGCCTCGGAGGACAATGAGCTCCTGCACAGCCGCACCAGCTTCTTCGAGGCCCACTCCATGGCCACGAACGGCGTCGGGGTGCCGGCGTTGAGCTCGTCCTCGGGTCCGACGAAGATCTGATAGCCTCCTCGGGAACTTCCGTCAGGTCGGCTAGCCCAGCTCGCATCTGAGTAGCCTCCAGCGCGCAATTCACTCCACGGCTTGTCGAAGCCAAAGTATATACCCCACGTCCGCGTTGGCCTTCGGGAACCGTAGATCCTTGTTCGCGCCAAGCAAGTCCTGCACCGTCGCGTGTCCAGTCGCCGCGGCTCTGAACGATACGGTCGCCGCCGCGATGATAACTCCCTGGGCTGCCGGCCAGTTCAGCTGGCCGTTCAGGGTCCTGAAACTGGCGCGCTCCTTCGGCGACAGCGCGCTGGTGGGATCCGCCCGCCGGTGCTTCTCCACGGTGATGGGCTTCACCGCGCGCAGGTACTTCTCGAACTTGACGCTGACCGCGTAGGTGCTCAGGGACTGCTCCACCTCGCCGCCGGTGAAGACTAGGCTCGGCCCGAACTCCCACTTGCCAAACTTGAGTTTCTCATTGAGCGTGCCCAGCCGCGCCTGGAAGCACCCGGCATCGCCCAGCTTGGCGCACAGGTCATCCTCGCAACTCACGTTCTCGCCGCAGCCGATGAAGTCGCCCACGTGCATGCCGATCAACCCGTCCACCACGAACGTCTGGCCGTCGAAGCTGCGCACGTCGAACGGGTCGTCCGAGGGTCGCGCGGCCCGCAAGGACAGCAGCAAGCAATCCTCGAGCCAGTGGTTCTTGAACCCGATCTCCTTCGTGACTTCGTCGGAGCGGTAGTGCCAGAGCTTGGGCGACCGCGGGCCGCCAAAGCACGGCTTGACCATCTTGAGCAACTGCCCTGGCTGCAAGCCGATCTGGTGCACAAGCATCTCCCTCATCTCCTTCGCCGGGCTCGCGTGCAGCTTGATGCCGCGAGCGCTGACGCGGACTTCACATCCGCAGCGAACAGCCTCCACTTCCTCACGGCCGCCCAGAGCATGACCGTGTGCCGGCCAAGCCTGCTCAAAGCGGGCACCTCCTTGTCGAGCTGGCCCTCGGCGTCGTAGCGATGCTTGAAGCCCTGGTAGAGCACTCGCGCGTTGGCCACTCGCTGCCCGCCATTCACCTTCCACTTCAGCAGGAAGCGTAGCGGACAGCACGCCGCTGGGCCCACCTCCGCCTCGTCGATGGGCCCCCAGCCGTCGTTCTTGTTGAACACCTCGAGGGCCTCCAGCTTCGCCGCGTAGAACTGCTCCCGCTCCTCGGATGTGAGCTCCCCCTCCACGATGGCGGGAACCTTCCTCTTGAAAGCCAGCATGTAGATCGTTTCGGTGGATTCCTCCAACAGCATCATCTCGTCGCCCACCTCCTCGATGAGACACGACTCCCCCTGCTGGGGCGCGAGCCTGGCCCACGACATGCGGGCGCGTTTTGACAACGGGATGCCGTCCAGCTTCTCAGCCTCCTCGATGCTCCTCTTGGCCATCGCCTCGATGTGGACTCTGCTCGGCTCCCTCGTCGCGTTGCCACGCTCCCGCGCAGCGCTGGCCCACGAAGGCGCAGGGCCTGGAGCCGCCTCCTCGCCGGCCTCGGCTGGCTGGGGGGCCTCGGGAGCTGCCGCGGCAGCCGCTCCACTCGGCTCCTCTCGTTCTTGCTCAGCTCGATCTCCATCGCGGTGTCCCTGGGCGCCGGGCTGCTGCGCGCCCGCGTTGTGCAGGGCGTCGTCGCACTGGGGCCGCTGGCCCCCCTCGGCGAGGTCACTGAAGCTGCAGGCCCACCTGGCCCGCCTGAGCGCCCTCCTTAGCTTCTCGATGGTGCTGAACGGGCTGTCGGGATCCTCGCGTCGTCCTTCTCGTTCTCGGGTCTCGCTCGTCAGCTCGGGACGGAGCTGCTCCACCGTGCAGCGGTAGATCGTGCACCCGTGCGTGACCCACACCACCGACGCGTGCATCACGTCGTCCCCGTTGACCTTCGACTCCACCGCCACCACCAGCGCCGGGCCATGCCAATGGCACTTCTCCAGCCCCGTCGACATCTCCGGTCGCCAGAAGTAGACCCACTCGCCGATCTGGCACTCGCGGCGCGTCGGCCTGCTGCGCGCCAACAGCGCAGCTCGCACGGCGCGAGAGCAGTTGTTCTCGATGAAGGCCGTCCCCGCCGCAGCGCGCCTGACCATCATCTCGTGCACCTCGCTCTTGGGGTCGACCAGCGCGGCCTGCTCCGCCAGGCCGAAGTCCTCGTCGCACAGAGCGCCAGGTACCTTGGGCTGCGTGCCCAGCACCAGCGTCGCGGGCGGACAACCGTGCACGTTGCGTAAGATGTCCCGCTGGCTGGCGGTCATCCTGAGCGCGGTCTTGAGCGAGTCGTCGGGAAACTGCAGGCGGCACTTGCTGAGCTGCTCCCCCCTGACCGCATGGTTGCGCCCCATGAGCCCAAGCTTGTGGTGCGCGCCCGTCGGGACCTGGTCGAGTGCGCTGTTATGCTTGCTCATCCACTGGTGCATATTTCTCGACGTGTGCGGGCCTGCCATGTCCACCCTCATGGCGTCGGGCTTGCGGGTCCAGCTGATCCACAACTTCTGAAACAGCTTCACCTCCTTCTTGAAAGTCCCCTTCGCGATCGGGTAGTCCACTTCGTAGCGCGTGAACTCGCCCATCGGGGCCAAGATCTTCCGCTCCTTGTTCTTCCAGGTGACGTAGTAGACGTCGGTGTTCACGACCTTGTTGAACCTTTTAGCTTTTGGTAGTACAGCCACGCGCACTGCTCGAGGTCGCTGCCTGCTCCGGCAAACTTCACACTGGAAGAGCTTGGCGCACTGAATCCACTTTGCCGGGGCCTTCGCGTGCATCATGGCGGCTGCCAGCGCCGCGTTGGAGGGGTGGCCCAGGCTGATATGAGCGCGCTTGACCGCCCTGACCGTCGACACGCTGAAACGCTTCATCAGCTCTTGCATGACGTCGGTGTACTCGATGGCGTCGATATCCTTGTAGACCTGCTCGGCGGCGTTGATATCCTCAGCGTCGTCGGCCATGCCCTGGTTGGCGATCAAGTAGGCCATCCTTCGCGCCATCGGTCTCGGGTAATTCTGAACCTGCTGGGCAAGCTTCCCGCGTAAGACCACGTGCTCATCGGCGCAGCGGCACAGCATGCTCACGTGGTGTATGAACTCCTTGTTCGCGGACTGGAGTCGCGTAGGCTTCTGGTACGGCATGAGCTTTTCCTTGATCTCGAACTTCGCGCCCAGCCTGCACTGGTCGAGCCGGCAGTGGTATCCAGGTAGCGTCTGCCAGGTCTTGGTTTGCCAGTGTAGCCCTTGCCACGGGCCTTCTGCAGTCGCATGACGCCCACCATTCTGCTGCTTCGCGAACGAGCCCCGAACCATCTTGAGAAACGCCCTCTCCTCTCGCTGTCTTGTGAGGTTGATCTCCTTCGCGCGCTCCTCCGAAAGCTTCTCGTTGACATACTGCCAAGAGCACCAGATCCTGCACGGGGGTGCGAAGAAGATGTCGTCGGGCTTCTCCTCGTCGATCTTGTTTAAGAAGTAGCGAATCACGCTGGGCTTGGAAAAGTCCCAGCCGTCGGCTTGCCTGAACTGGACCACCTTGACCTGCGGGAACTCCAGCAGCTCCTCCGACAAAGCCCCTTTGTCCACAAAGACCTCCCAGACCACGCGCTTGCGGGGTCCTCTGAGCGTATCCTCCATGTCGGTCTCCGCTTGCTCCAGGGCCAAGGTCAGGCCCGAGTAGGTGTCCGCATCCATGTCGGCGAGCCCTGCCTCCGCGAACCTCTCGGTCGCCAGCGCCTCGCCGTCGCTGCCGATGTCGTAAAACTCCGTGACGATCTCGAGGTAGTAGGCGTTAGGCGTCGGCGTCTGGCACCGACGAGTCGCTCCCCTCGTCGGTCTCGCCCTTCACCGAGCCGGCCCCCCGAGCCCATGTCCGTCGAATCGTCGCTGCTTTCCTCGCCGTCCGTGGCAGCGCCCTCGTTCATGGCGTCGTCCGCCTCCTTCCCGGCGCTGCCCAGCAGGTCGATGATGAAGTGGCCTTTCCCGTCACGCTCGGACTTCATCCAACCCTTGTCGGGGAGATCCTTCATCGTGAACTACCTGCCCGGCAGTCCTGGACGAGACCCCACTCCTCCATGCAGGGCCTGGCGATGGGCAGCGGCGCCCACCCCTCGACGAGGTGGATGGCGACCTGCTTCTTGACGCCGAACGGCCACACCGTCAACGTCACTGCCTTCTTAGCCCCCAGCGTCTTCCCGTCTCCGAACCTGAACCGTCGGTCGCTCATGTCATACTTGACCTCGCACAGCAACTGCTTCACGCGCAGCAGCTCCTCCCACTGCGCCCAGACCTTGTCACCCATGACGGGCCGCGTCGCGCCTCCGTCACTGATGCCCTTGCCGACGGTCAGCAAGAACACCTCCTCGGTCGAGTTCGCGTACTCCAGCGTCTCGATGTCCTCGACCATGTTGCCTGACTCGGTCTCCGCCCTGGCGAACCCGCCGTGACGAAACCTCTTGAACCTCGGGCCGTGCTGCTGTGTCGAGCCTGTCCCAGTCGATCCCGCACTCGGCGCAGCCTGAGGGCGGACGAACGGGGACTTCGGGGGGAATTTGAACACTGGTGGATCTCGTCGCGGCTGACTTGCCCCTTTGCCCTTGCCTTTGCCCTTTCCGCGCCTGCGTCCCTTACCTTTACCTGGTGCTCGAGCGGGTCGCGCCTCGCGCTGGTAGTTGTTGTCCGGCGCCACGGCGACGATCGGGCAAAAGCTTCGGGACTTCGCGATCTCAGCCACGCGCTTCTTTGCATCCACGAAACTCAGGTAGGCCTCGTCGCACGCGAGCTGAGCGCCCTCGACATCCTGCGGCAACTCCTCTGCGATCTCGGCCTCCTCGTCTGCGTCCTCGTACTCGTGCTCGGCTTCGTCCTCGTACTCCCCCTCCTCCAGGCACGTGTCTTCGTAGCTCAGGCCTCGCCCCCACTCGTAGTCGTTCGCGCAATTGTCTTCGCCCCTGGCGTTCTGTGCGAGCAGCACCCTCTCAACTCGCTTGATATCGCGCTTGTCGGGCAGACCTTCGGCCCCGCACGCGTCGAGCAGGGCTTTCCCCACCTTTTGCCAGCTGAGACCGTCTACGCATTGACTCCGAACCTGGGCGGCGCCCGACGGTAGGATCGCCGCTCTCGTGAGGAGGCGCCAGCCCGCCAGCATATCTGGGATCTCCATGCCCACCTCCTTCAGCTTCCTGAGGTCGCGCTGATGGCGCACGCAGCACAGCTTCATCGACTCCTTGTCCTGGCGGGCGAACCTGCCGAAAATCTGACCTGTCCGGGCTGGCAACTGAGTCTGATTGTCGCACTTGTAGTATTCGTCCAAGACCTTGAACAGCGGCCTGAAGGCGTCGTCTGTCTCCAGCAGGCCCAGGTCTATCTCCTCCGTAGCCTCTGCCGTCTCTCCTTGCAGCGAGTTCATGACCAGGAAGGCCCTCTCGCTGATGGCGTCGTGCCGCGCTTGCGGCAGCATCTCTCGAAGACCTCCACCTTGCGCCTGGAAGCTCTGAAGCCGTCGGTCTTCAGCAACTCGTAGCTCGGCGCTGTCTTTGACAGGCCTGCCTCAAGGCCTCTTCCCCCGCCCCAGGCCGAGCTCTCCTGGCGGCGGGCGCGGCGGCGGCGACGGGGGAGCCGGAGCTGGGCGTGGATCTCCGGCTCCGCTACCAATCTCAACCGATGGCAGCACACTAAGTCTGTCTCGGGCGTGTAAGTAACTTGATTATCTCGTTAATCCCGTAAAAGATACGCAACCTATTCCTGGGACTCAGGGGCCCCTGAACATCAGACGGCAGCGGTAAAGCAACAATCGCAATATGTGCTTATATAGAATCCAACTGACACTACACACAAACGATAAACTCGATAAAACAGCTGTGATATTGACACCACGGTCCCTCTTCCCTTCGGGGAGGGGAGCCCCCCCCCCCCCTCCCTGTTTTTTTTTGGGGGGCGCGATGTGTCAGAGGGTTTTTTTGTCGGCCCCTGGGGGAGTTATTTTTTGACAGCCCGCACGAGGGTCGCGGCCCCCGAGGGGGGGGGGCTGCATTTAGGACCCCCTGTTTTGACCGACCGCCTCCAAGATGGCCCCCGGATGCCGCCCCAGGGCTCCAAAGAGGCCCCAAGAGGCCCCGAGAGGCCTCCAAGAGGCACCCGAGAAGCACCCATGAGGCCCCCGAGCAGCCGCAGACAGCCCAAGATGACCTCCAAGATGGCTCACGATAGCCCAAGCTGGCTCAAGGCGGCTCCCAAGACGCTCCGAAATGGCCCCAACACGCTGTCCAGGTCGGCCCCCCTCGCCGTTTAAGTATGCGCGTCTCTTCCTCTCTCCCCCCGACAGCTCTCATGGGCATCTTTTCTAGATGGGCTGGCGGGGATACTTTTGTGTCCGCGAGCGCGCAGGTGTGCCAGGCGCCGTCAGTGAGAAGCAACAGGGCCACGATCTAAATTAAGCCAAAGAGCGCAGAAGCGAACTACGCTGCGGCTCAGAAGGCGCGGAGGACCAGGAAGGGTACCAGGTCCACGTGCAACGCCAAAATGGCGACGAACGAGGCGGGCGCACTCAAAGACCGCCGCGGCGAAGTCGAAGAAAACGACGAACGGGCGCTCAGGCGCTCAACGGGGCAACCCGGATCGCCAGGGAGAAGCGTGATTCGCGTAGTCCACGCACGCGAGGACGAAGAACGGGCTGGCGGGGATATTTTTTTTGTCCCGGCCGCAAGCGGAAGCGCAGGAGGCGCCCGAAAAGGTCGGGCGGGCTACGCGCGAGCCAAATTATACAGCGACCGAGCGCGGGGCCAGGACTTCCGCCGGGTGGGCAGCTGGCAAGCTGAGCTGGGGCACCAGGGGTGGGGGCTGCAAGCTGCTAGGGCTGCGAGCTGCAAACGTGCGAGACCCAGATGGAGCACCAGGGCGAATTGAACCTGCACGCCAAGAAGCGTCGTGGTCTGGGCTGTAGAAAACCGATCATGCGTCAGTCCAGCAAGGCTGCACCGCCTGATGGACTAAAACCCAAGCCCGCCAAGCAAGCAGACAGGAGAACAGAGCCGGATGGGCGCAAGCACTCTCGACCCGGTGTGAGTACCATGGGAGCAGATCACCAGGTACGCTGAAGGACCTTGTCGCCACTGGGCGCCAGGGGCCAGGGCCACAGACGCGGCGAAGTGCGGGGCCACGAAAAGCCCAGCGACAGCGGGCCAACGGGGGACGCGCAGACCCGCGCAAGAAGGCTGCACCACTCCTGAGTGAACCGGCGGCCATAACCCCAAAGGGCCAGCTTCAGACACGGCCAGCTGAGGCAGTGACTGAGGACCAAATGCCAAGAGAATGCAGACGCACACGCTGGAACTGGCCTGGGGGCGCGAGCCGAAGACGCCACGCAGATGGGAAACCGCGATTCGCGCGAGATGGGGAGGCCAGGGCAAGCGGGAACTGACATCACCTCACCGGCGAGGGAACCGGGTGCCCAACCGCGGGGGGGCTGCCCCGGCACGGGAGCGCGCCCGGGCGCGGGGGAATGACGCGCCAGCCGGTCTGAGACGGCTGGAGGGTGGGCGCCGACACTGCAGCTGCAGTCGCAGTCGCAGCGCGGTCAAGCCACAGGAGAGGCCAAGGCTGAACCACTGGCGACCGCGGCCCCAACCCTCGGGGAAAGTAGCGCACTCCAGGTCTGTCCAGACAAGCAGAGAGGCGGGCCCCCAGCAGATCCGAGCGAACCGGCAGCCTCTCCTTCTGACCTCGGGAGCATGGAGCTTGCGTCTGGGCGGTGGGCTGGGGTGCCGCAGCAGTCGCATGCCGCCTGCTGCGCTTTACCGCGCCCGCGTGATGGCCAGGGCTGCGCGTCGCTGCTCCACGCGTCTCGAAGGTACACGCTCCGCTGCTGCCATGGCGACAAGTGGGGAGCCTGCTCGCGCCCAACACGCTGCGGCGCGGGCTGACTGCGCTGCCTTCTGCCAGGGTGGGGAACTGTGAGCGAC